GCCCCGTTTAGGCCTTCAATCTGACCTGACATCTAGCAGTTCAATCACAAAATATGAAGTTCCCATAATATAAGCGAGGTAGCGCTCATCCCGCCGCTGTATGTCTCCCGATTCCCAAAATGCTAACGAATTGTTCTACGTAAGCTTTCATCCTCTACTCGATAATTTCCCACGTACAAGCCTGAGGAATGAAGTCATTCTAATAAATTTCTTTGGTGAGAGACGTAACATAACTCAAGGAGACTCCCGGCGATTCTTGCACATTGCATGATGAGAGTGTGGTTCTCCTTTGTAAGTATGCCTGTTCTTTCCCTGCACGGGATACTTCTCTTTAGACGATGGGAAAATCCTCTTTCTTTGAGAGATCAGGATCAGAGTTTGACTCATCTCAGTAATGCATTGCCTTCCGCCCTGAGATATCTCTGCCTGTTCCTGCAAGAAACATGAGAGGGTGATGTCGTCAATATGCAGAATATGCTATTTTTTAACACCATGAACATTCATGAGCATGCAAATTGTTCCACTGCAACCTAGGGATTACTATCGCTGCACCCCTTAATGGTCATCCAAAAGCTTTCCCAAAGGGACTCCAATGGAACCAAAGAGACGGACATCCAATAGACATGTCCAAGGAGTTTCCTTGGACGAGACATTTAGTCATCCAGTGGCAGGGGGTTTCTAGGGATTTCTATAGCTCTATTTATTTTAATTCAAATGCCTCGTCTAAGGTCGAAATCCAGAAACTTCAATCATTATATAGACAGTGTGATATTATCGTTTGACCAGTGCACGATTTCATATAGAGTTCGACATTAGGAACGAAATGATGTCAGTCCATCTTTGGACATACATTGGACGTTCAGCAAAGGAACTTCCAAGGACTTCCTCTCAGGGTCTACCCATGGATGTCCTTGGATGGAGTCCCCGCCCCCGTTGAGGCCCTCCATCTGACCTGACATCTAGCAGTTCATTCGGTAAACATGAAGTTCCCACAATTTAAGCGAGATGGCAATGAACCAACTACTGTATGTCTCATGATTTCCTTAATGCTAATGAATTGTTCTGCGGAAGCTCTCATTCTCTACTCGATTATTTGTACAAGCCGAAGGAAGGAAGTCATTCCAATTAGTTTATCTGTTGAGGGACGTAACATAGCTCAAGAAGACTCCCGGCAATTCTTGCATATTGTATGGAAAGAGAGTGGTTCCCCTTGTGAAGATGTCTATTTCGTCCTCCAGTGGATCGTGATCTTGACAACGGGAAACAGTCTCTTGACATGTAATGATGAGAAGTATGAGAGTAACATTTCAGTAATACCAGACTCTCCACCTAAACTTTTTAAATTCTATTTCTTCCCAGGAATGTGAGTCGGTGGAATCTTAGTAACCTCAGAAAGTACTCCTCTCCCATGCCACGAATATTAATTAGCATTTGGCCACATTTGGCCGGTGGGCCGATGGCCACATTTGGCCGGTGGGCCGATGGCCACATTTGGCCGGTGGGTCGATGGCCACATTTGGCCGGTGGGTCGATGGCCGATTTTTTCCTCGTAACCATCGGCCGGTGCCGGTGTCAAACGTGGCCTGTAGAAGAAATGCAATATGAATTCAAATAGGTCTAATTGGAAGCCAATGAGACTCCTATCAGTAGGGTTTCTTGAAACGATCGAGACTACTTTTGGTCCTGTCCAGCCTGTCTGTCTCTCTATAATAAGGCTGTCAATGGTTAGCTTGTCCATTGCTGCTGTTGAGGGCATTTAGTGACACATCCCTTGCAAAAGCATAACGTAAGTGGAGACGCAATTACTTCCCTTCTTTACCGCTCCTTTCCTCTGCCGGTTCCTATCATCTGGCTGTAATATAATCCGATCGATATTTTTGCGCCTAGCCGCGTGAACACCCTCACGGAATTTTTTTTTCGCTTTGCCCGTCCTTTGGGCATCGGCATCGGCATTGGCACCGGGACCATGGGCCGATGGCCGATAGTGCCGATAGTGCAACACCGGCGGCCGATACCGGTGTTAGCCGATACATCGGTACAGCCCTAAATAAAACCCTAGGCAGCAAATAAATTCGAAGAACTTGGTAAGATCAAACTCGATTGATCCGGAAAGATTGCCAAATGACATTCGTGACACGACGAGGACGGAGACATGCATTTTCCACGCTTTTCCTCGTAATGCCACGTTTCCCTGTAATGGCAGATTTCCTCGTAATGGCACGTTTCAGCTTGACCAGTCCCAACTCCTTTTGAACCGTTCAGAGATTTTCCCGAGGTTCGAATCACCGTCGACGATTTCGCTTCTTGTTGAAGCAGTTGCGTCGAGACGCGCTCAACATTTGGTTCTCGTCGCTCATCCTCGTCGCTCATTATGACATCAGCAACCTTCCGATGTCATAAGCGTCTACGATCTCTAAATGAAGTATTTCTCCGTGTTCAGTTCCTGGAGCAAGACTGGAATTCAGCCCCGTCCAACTCATTTTTGGAATGAGAAGAGCTTGCAGAGATGGTCTGGATGAGGAAACGGGTAAAAAAAAAAAAAGGAAAATCCGTCTGTTGAATGGTGGGGGCGAGATTCCAATAAGATGAACACAATCCCTGCCTTCCCGGGCTAAGTTCTTCCTTGGAAATTAAGATTTCCTTCTTAGGAAATCTTTAATTTCGCTGTTTGGCATTTTCTCGTTCCACCGCCTTGCAGATGTTCCCAAGACCAATAAAACAACGGAAAAAGGAAGGAAATACACTGCCTCGCGGAGCGTGCATCAACCACGGATTGGGCTGCCGTATAGCATAACAGAACGACGAGCGACGCGCTTCCAGCTTTGACAACTTTCCATTCGACCGTTAGGAGAACCTGTCAATCGAAGCCTGCCCGATCGCGGAGGAGGAGGAGCACGAGCGAGCGGGCGCCCTCCACTCCGCGTCCCCCACTCCTCGCGGGAGATTTGGATGCCTCGACTCGTGAAGAACCTCCACGAACAGAAGAACCTAGGAAACCGGGTGATTTCAGGCTTTTGGGGTTCGACAACGAGGAGAACGCAGAAGATCCTCTCGAGACTTTTCGAAGCAGGTCGTCTCCTTCGACGGAGAGGAACACGCCGTCGAGATGGCCACGACGGAGTTGGCCACGACGACGGCAGCGGACTGAACTATGTCAAGGGCAGGATCGACGATATCTTGCATTAATCATTAATTAAGTATCAATTAATGCGTTCGTTCTTTGATTCGATCATTTTCGGGAGTTTCTTTCTCCACAAATATGTGATTATCATTTTAAAGGCATGAAGGCCTTTTCTTCTCATGGCAGATGCTCATTATCATAAAAGAACGAGACTCAAACTCCAAAGCCACGAGATTACAAAAAGCCTCTCCTGCGGAATCACGGCTCCTTTGTCTCCCTAAGCCGAATTTTAGCCTCGCTGAAGCTTTGAGTCCATGTAATAATGCACTACTTCATTCTCCCCGAAATCTCTCGGAGAAACAATTTCCCATAATTCTCATTCATCCAGCGACGCCCCACAGGGGATTAAGGAAGATAAACTATTTTTAAATGCGAGAATGGGGGAGAAGAGCACGAATCGATCCATGCGAAAATCCTTACAAAATGCGTGGGAGTCTGGATTGACAATCAAGATTTCCCTCGCGCTTCCCTTTCTTCAGTTCTTCCGATCGCTTTTCTATTGAAGTAACATTTGAATTACAAATTTGACTATTTAGCGACTTGGCCGTTTGGCTATTTGACTATTTGGCTATTTGACTATTTAGTTCCTCCGGCTCTATTTCCACCACCCTCAACTTTCCTTCCGCTACATTTCTTTCCTCCAAGAACATCACTTTTCAGTTTTGCTTCGTTCGTATTGCACAGCAACCCCGATTCAAAAACTAATGACGGTCATCGAAATCATCGAAGGAAAACGAATTTGATTCGACGATGTGACAAATGAAAAACCCCCTCTTAGAGGATGGGGGAGCCTGCCGTTCGAACAGCGACTCGAAATGTGAAAATTCCATGTCGATATACCATTCCAAACGCTCCATCGCGGGACGCGTCCAGCCCAGCGAAGAAGCATTGCGTCGGGTGCCTAGAATCAAAAAGGGAAAGTGCCTAGAATCAAAAAGAGCTTTCCATACCAAAACCCTCCGATGGAATAAAGTTTGAAATGATAAATACAGAACAAAATGCGCTTCTGGTCGGGGTGTTTCGAGCCGTGCCGGGATCGGCGAAGCGAGGTCACAAAGCGATCGGGTCAGACGTCACGGAAAATGATGAATCGTGGGGAAATGTGATACGATAACCGATTTGATTTGCGTGGTGCATGATGAACCACGCGCCGCTCGTTCGGATCTTCAGCTCAGTAAATTTTATCCTGAGGAGGCGATTGGATTCCTCTGTCAGCGATGCCGACTGCAATTGGCTCCTGAGGGCCAAACGGGAGAGGACGCAGGCGTCGCGGATATAAAAGAAGACTTGCGGCCGCGGTCGCGTGCAGTGCTGGATTGGCGTCCGTCGCACCTCGTCGCATTCTGTCGCATCTTGTTTCCATCTGTTCCAGCCGTAGCCGATCCCGACGGCAAAAGTGAGTCCCTGGCATTCGTTCCTCAAAACAGTTTCGCCATTCGGGCCCGAATGCTGGAAAGCAGAATCGAGATCCAAAAAAAAAGGGCATCGAGATCCTTCAGTCGACGGTTTCTTTAAGAATACATGGACTCCTATGGGGGAGAGCCCTTCAGCTTAACTCTTTCATGCACAAAAATTGCAGGAAAAAAGAGTGTAATAAGATACATTTATTTGACGAATGAACACAAGTAACACAATCATTAGGAAATACGCCTGCCATCTGTTGGCAGCGAGAAACAACTACTAGCAGCGGTAATACAAGGTGATTCTGGAAATAAACCACCATGCTGCCTCAAAACAACATCCAACATCACAAACAGGTGGTACATTAATTGTAAGAGTTAAAGGCCTTTTTATCCCCTAAATGACGTTTGTGCATTCGGGCCTTAACGCTCGCCGATGCTCGATATTGTGGAGCTATCCAGATCTCGATTGGAGTTTTTTAGGATCTCAATTCCGTTTTTTTTTTTTTAGGATCTCGATTTCGTTCCCAGGGAGCTGCTAAACGCAGGACTAAGAGATGCGAAAATCATTGGACTGGACTGTTACCAGGGAGAATGCAATTTCACCTGGCAAACAATCAAGCTTCAAACAATCAAACTTCAAACATTAAATTTCAAATATCCAAAAGGATATAGGACTTCGCAAACCCAAACCATCTCGAAGTTGTGACGTTTCATGCAGGCAATTGGTAATTGCAACTGGTAATTGCAATTGGTAATGGCTATTGGTAATTGCTATTATTGCATTATCTTCCAAACTCGCCCCCTTCTGAAAACCTCTTATGTTCTTTTTAGTCATATTTCATGAGAACCCTGTAGTTCCTGCTCGCTCCAGGAGATACTGGCGGTACGAAATTATTATTTTTTTAACTTGAGTCTCTTCAGGTTTCAAAATAAAAAAAAATAACATAACGAAATTCCACATCATCGCTTGGGCGCGTCCGCCTACGTCACGAGAGAGAGATGAGATTCCCTCGAATCACCGAAGAAAAATCAAAATCTGGAGATTTTGATTTTTCTTGCAGTGAAACCACCGAGGAGCGCATTCCTGCTGCTGCTGCTGACTTCCGCCTCCCTGCTGCTGCTGTTGGCCTCCTCCTCCCTGGCCCTCCCTACGGACGCCGTCGGCGGCTTGTCCAAGCGCTACAACTGGGTCCTGGTGACGAACCGCCTCGAGCAGCCGCTGCCGGACCAGCCCCGCCAGACCGTGAAGCAACGTCCGGACTTGCAGCAACCGCAGCAGATGCAGCAGCCCCAGCAGCTTGCAGAAGCGGACCGCGAGGACTCCCTCACTCAGTTCT